CTATGTGCGTACGTGCCTGGACTTGGCTGTTTTTAATCAATCTGGCGAAAGGGACACCTGAAAATCGTGTTCAGGTTGCGTTGCACTCTCTGTGTTACGCTAGATAACACTAGAATGCGGATACCTTGTTATGCAGGAATATTTCCTATGGCAATTGCGATAAAGATTATCTGGCACCTGGCAATGTGAAGCCTTGTTTCTTGCCGACACTTCGACGGTGGGCACTTTTCAAGATGTTTTGGTTGTGGAATAAGTTTGGTAGCGGATGGGGTGAGGTCAGCGTTATTATGATAGCACAATTGAGTCTACACTCCACTGCATTGGAGTCACTTAAAAAAGTACGCATGCAATGCAAAATGGACAGGGGCTGTATCAATGATACGTCTCCTACGCTTGGAAACGCATTGCGAAGTCACCAGGGCTGGTGGGGATTAGCTCTTGTCCAGCCATCGCACGAAAGCCGAGTTTATGGTGTTCTTCCGCATGCAATGCAGTCTTGATGTTTAATTGACCACTGGGCAACGTATAGCTAGTGCCGACAATTTGCATTGGCAAGTGTCTCTATGTCTTCGTGGATATCAATGCCTCCCTGTACCACCTCCCCCTTTTCCTCCCAGGCGAATTTAGGAGGAAGGCAAGGGCATGTGAGCTTGTTCAAAGACGCACGAGGTGACGAATGTGGGGCAAAACTTCTGCAAAAGTCTTCAAAAGCCGTGAGAGAAAAAAAAACAGTATTTTTGTGACACCTGGCCGCAGCTCCTGTCCTCCGCTTCAAAATCATTGCGCGTGGAACTTACCCTCTGCCGTCCTGTCGTGTGGAACTTCCCCTCTGCCGTGCTGTCGTGTGGAACCTCCCCTCTGCTGTGCTGTCGTATCGTATGGAATCGCCTTTTCGTCAGGTGGCGGTGGTAGTACACAATTAGATGGCGTTACCTGAGCTGTCGCGGGTCACCGACGCTGGTCGGGAGGGATGGCTCTCCGTGGGTTTATGCTCGGCTGTCACGTAAAAGAATGGTTTCGAATGAGGAAAACACCAGACACAGATCATCAAGACAACATATTGGTGCTTTGCATATCAGCGTAGACAGAAGTAAAAAGACAGAAGCTGGCCAGCTCACAACATATGACGAAACGAATGTCGACAGCAGAAATGTAGACACAATTTTTTCATCAATCATTTGGTATCCGTGGCTGCGTGTCATATGACCGCATCCACTCCGTGAGATCATGTTCAGGTGTGCTCATACGGGTAGATACCGGATACTAGACCTTACTAAGTGTGAATGTTTGGTCCGGTTGCACTGAATGGACAAAAGCTGAAAGCATTTGGTACGGTGCAGGAGTGTACACTACGGTGCACACGTTGTACTGAGTGCTGCGGAACACCATTGAAAGCCTGGGGAAGTTAGTTCTTACATCTGCATTGAAAGACAATGTTACTCTGTGCTGTATTGTGCATTCCGTGTCTTGTACATTTAGGGAATGCTACAAATATAGCAACTCCGTACCCGGTTTGCCCAAAATTGTCGTAGCTCCTCAACTGGATGGGCGGCCACTGGCCACTGATCTCCCAGCCTGGCCGCATGTGACGGCCATGGACCAAACGTGGCCCGTTAGCACGATTGCTGGTGTTTCCAAGCGGCCAATTGGACCCCATAAAATCTTAAAGTTAGTGGAGCTAAAGGCACCAAATTCACATGTTTTGGCCTGTATGTGCGCTTACCTGCGTCAAAATGTGAGAATCCCAGGTTAAACAGGTCAGGTAAGGTGGCCTTTGGGTCAGATCAAGTCACACAAAGTCAAATTCCAGAGTGATACTCAGCGTCCAGAGGCCTCTTTATGCAGTCACATCGAGCCTAGATACTTGTTCTAAGCAAAAGGTTACTGGTATTTATTTAAGATCAGTGGTCTTGTTTGACCTTTATCAGGTAATGGTGAACCAAAACCATACGAGATTGTTTGTGGTTGCATTTGAACCAGCGTCAAGGATTATGCTAGGCGGTACGTTCCTAAAAAAAAATATATGTTGACTTGGGCCCTCTTAAGTCTGTGACCTATTTTGATCTTTAGAGCGCCCATGTAAGATGTCTGCTGCCGTTCATGCTATTCATAACTCCAAAATAAACACCAGAGGCTGCCCCACACAGCAAGCTGTCGCGCAAAAAAAATCAGGTTGGATTTCACCTCGGTCTCACATTCATACCTAACCTTATGTCATTGGAATTTGTTGTCATCCTAAATTCAATTGCTTGGTTACCTAAAAAAACTATCTCAGGGATGTACGGGGTCATCAAACACTCCGTTGTCGCATCAGATCAGGGGCGTCAATTTTGGCAACTTATTCGGGGGAGCCGAACCGAAGACGCGACAACCTATCTTTGTCAACCCCCCATCTTTTCCTCCCCGGATTTAGCCCACTTTCATGCTGATTAAGCGTGATGCATGTTTTTATTCTTTGTATGATCTATAAAAGTATTTAATTTAAGCAGCATAGAGATCATGCAGGGTTGGATCCAGGGCACTGGGCACACGCGTCTCTTCTGATCGGCACGTGAAGGCAGATCGTGCCGATGGCGCTCTTCTATGACGGCCATGGGTGGTGGCACGCATTTTGGTTGTGGGGGACGGGATGGGGTTAGCCATGGAGGACTTAGGTCATCCCATATTCCAGAGCTTTTCACTCTAACCTCACAAACCACTGCGTGCTTTATGGCGTTTGGCATGTAAAATGTATTGCATCGCTTATGCGCTTAGCTGTTGCGATTTGCATCTTGTGGTAAGAGCAACAATGACCCTTTGTAATGAGTGGCACTAGCCGCCGCTACGCAGAAAGATAAAAGACGAAAATCGTGTTGGGATCAACGTTTGCCCACTTTTTTGGAGTATTCCAGCCAAAAACATTGGGGGTGGGGGTCAAGCCAAAATTGGAGGGCGGGGGTTACCGCGGAATACATTGCACCAATCGGCCACATCATTGCATCGTGGTTCAGATTGCTGCACGCTTAACATGCATTCCATAGACGCTCATCGCTTATTCGACTCCACATCGGTATTTTCAATGCGGGAATAGGCAGCGTTTATGGTCAGCATTGCAAATGTCAATCCATATTCATTAAAGCATATTCTTGACGAAGTGACGTTCAAAAGTTGCGACAAATATATTTAATACGTGATAAAACATGCCTAAGATGAACCGAGATTTAGTTACTACTATATACCGCAGGATAAAATTCCGGAGACATCTGTCGACGTAGCTCCGTACTATTCTGAAGACGCTAGTTCGCCAAATGGGACATGGTATGAACATGGTAAATTGGACTAAGGAGCGCATTGCACTTCTTCACGAGCTGACCAATATGAACAGCCCAGAACATGTCAGGGTCGAAAGAGATGCCCAGCAGCCCGACCGAGCTAGACGGTGACAGGATCGACTGGGACATATTTTAAAATGAGTGCTCCACATTCGCACGGGATTTTGAACTGAAATAGCCATTTCGAAGATCACGCGGTGCAGTTCACAGCCCTATACTTCTCAGGACCTCAAGCCTTTTGGTATCTGAGCTACACGCCCACCGAGATGTGCAGGTCGTTTTGGGAGACTAGTTCAAGGTCACCCAAGCATTCATGACGCATGCATGGATCGCCGTATCAGTCATGTGGCGAAATAGACTAAGACAAATATAATCATTGAGCCACTCCTATCTGACATTCGCATGCACGACTTCCATACGAAATGACGGTCAATTGGCGCTCAATCAATGCCGTGCGAGGTTCGATGACGTAATCAGACGATGTCGTATTGAGGACCTACTAAACAGAGATATTGTGTTATTTGAAGCTGCCTTTCCACTCAAAAGCTTACCAACGGTTATAAGTGTGCTTATTTCATCATATCTATTGCTTGTTCCAATATCTCTAAATGTGAAACATTCCCTTTAAGGGATGTCTTCCGTCCTTTTTCGTCTCGGTGCTTCCAGTAACGATGAAGTCCATCTTTTTGTGGTTTAATTTGAGCATATTTGATCGAAACTATCTCCCCAGGTGAGGCAACGTGTTGTGAATTAGAGAGCAGAGGGTCATGGGGTCATCTGCTCCCACCCGTCCAGCAGCTGAGCGTCGTCTGCATGTACAGTCACTGGACAGCTGGCCGGGTGATATGGCAAATCAGTCGCCACGAGACTGAACAAGATCGCCTCGGTTATCGATCCCCGTGGGACACCGCACGTGGCGGTCAGGGAAGCTGCGCTGCCACCGCTGACCACCTGGCCACGCCCACTGAGACAGCTTCTGAAGAAAAAGGGATCGATTCCATGCAATTCCCGCATGTTGAAAAAGGCGCCGTGGTTAACATATCAAGGCTCCTGCTCAAATCAACAGCAGCGACTGATGAGTGCAGGTATTACCAACTTTTCTCGACATCCAATCGCCAGCTTCAAAACAGCGTCCTGCGTAGAATGGCATTGGCGGCAGGCATGCCGTTGACCGAACAAGATATGATGAGCAGAAAGGTAGACGGGCAGCGGACTGCGTACGGTTTTTGCAGCCACCTCTGACAGGTGGGGAGCGAAGAGATAGACAAAAAGTTTGATAGAATGGTTGCAAATGCGGATGTTAAACTGGGCACAATATTAGCCACCTGCCACGACCGTGGGAGCACACGATTGACTCAGTTGGGCCACGATTGGAAGGCACGACTGAGGTGCTGCGAGTCCGCAGCAGGTGAGCGCTTAGCGCAGGGAGGCAGCGCGGTGTTCCTCTGCCCGCTGCTCCGCCTACCAGCGATGCCTTGCAACGCTCATTACAGCACATTGAAAGCCGCGTTCTGCCCTCGCATAAGAAGGCGTAGCCACGGCCGCGAAGAGTGGCGATTGCGTTAGCACGATACTTTGGCTACTGTTGTACCATGTCCGTGGTGGCTCCTAGGTGTAATATCACGTTCTTTGCATGACATGTAGATTTTTTAAGCTCAGAACCGTTGAACACAGACAAATGATATCGATCTAACAACTTGTCTGTCCTCCCTGGGACGTGATACAATGGGGCCAACTTCGGCAAAATTTCAAGTGATCAAAACATATTATCAATTACTTACTCCTCTCGTTCTTTACGGGGCAAATCAGTTTAGTTTGTCACGCAAATCCGTCTCGTTAAATATCCGACAAATGATAAGTGTATCACTATTATGCTACGTCTCTTCTAGCGCAACTTACTAATCCAGACTTGTAAGTCTGCCCGAAAGTTGTCCTCCACCGCCATTTGCGATGCCCCTGACGCAAGTGGTCTGCCTGCTCGCCGCCGCGCTGGGTGTCGTCACCAGCCACGGCCTGCGCTACCACAACTGCTCGTGCGGTGTACCCATGTACCCGGTGGGCGCGGCGGGTGGTCGCATCGTCAACGGACGGCCGGCGCGCCGCGAGGAATTCCCTTGGCTGGTGGGCCTGCAGACGGGCAAATACTACACAGCGGCGCCTAAGTGCGGCGGCTCCCTCATCACCGACCGGCACGTGATCACGGCCGGCCACTGCCTGCTGCACGCCTCTGGCTTGCACCCGGACACGACGTACGTGCTGGTGGGCGCGTACGACTGGACCGACCGCTTCGACGTGCGCAAGTCGCAAATCGTGAAGGTGCAGCAGGGCTTCCCGCTGAGCACGTTCAACTACCTCCAGCTGGAAGGTGACATCTCGGTGGTGGAGCTGGAGCAACCGATCGAGCTGAACCCGACGGCGTATCCCATCTGCCTGCCACCAGCCAACTTGACCCTGGACCAGGTGAAGAAGGCGGTGGTCAGTGGCTGGGGTCGTCTGGTGGACGGCGGCCGGCAGCCGCACAAGAACTACCGCACCGAACGCCACCTCAAGATACTCGACCACAAGCAGTGCATGGAGGTGCCGATCATGCGGAAGATGATGGGCTCGGGTGCGCTGACGGAGCGACAGATCTGCGCTCTCGGCGACAACACGGACTCGTGCCAGGGCGACTCGGGTGGCCCGCTCATGTGGTTCAACGAGGCCAGCCAGCGCTATCACCTGATCGGCGTGGTCAGCTTCGGCTGGGTGTGCAACACGCCTGGACTGCCCGGCATCTACACCAACTTGCTCAACGACAACATCCGTAACTACATTACCTGCAACCTCCATCACGGCGTGACATGCCAGACATGAGAACTTCCGTCAGAGAGCGAACGGTGAGGGGTGATATCATCACCACCGCACCGCACGTGGAAGGTAACGACTTTCAGGACGGCGCCATCACGGCGAAGTAATGCCACAACCACCGCGTAATCAGCGAGAAGTAAGAACTCCAACGCGGTTACGTGCGAGAGATATCAACCTCCATCGCTGGGTCACCTGTGAGAAGTGATGCGTCACTTTTCGCCACCGGATCGTCACTTGAGAAAACTGGTGACCTCCACTACTATGCCATTTTGAGATGCTGTGATGAGATGAATGTGATGCTGTGATGAGATGCTTTCTACGTCAAATTCAGGAGCTGGCGAGTCGAATACCGCCACCACTGCAATGCCTGAGAAGTGGAAGCATACACTGGCTCCTCACCTGTGGGAAGCGGTAATGCCCACCAATACGGCACACAGAGTGGTTATGACTGCCGGTGCGGCACGCAGACGGGTAATGGCTGCCGGTGCGGCATACAGACGGGTAATGACTGCCGGTGCGACACGCAGACGTGTAATGACTGCCGGTGCAGCACGCAGACGTGTAACGACTGCCGGTGCGGCACGCAGACGGGTAATGACTGCCGGTGCGGCACGCAGACGGGTAATGACTGCCGGTGCGGCACACAGACGGGTAATGACTGCCGGTGCGGCACGCAGACGGGTAATGCCTGCCGGTGCGGCACACAGACGGGTAATGACTGCCGGTGCGGCGCGCAGACGTGTAACGACTGCCGGTGCGGCACGCAGACGGGTAATGACTGCCGGTGCGGCACGCAGACGTGTAACGACTGCCGGTGCGGCACGCAGACGGGTAATGACTACAATTGCAGGACTTGCGACAATTAGTGACTTCTTGCATGCGCTCACCCGAGTTTACTGGACAGCTTTAATGAGGCATCTGTACCACGCAGGCACCGTTAAGTAGAGCCAACTCGGTGGTAAGCGAATTCATTGCAACGGCCTGAAATTGCCAGCTGACACTTAAATGCAATACTCGAACACATGTATTGCAATACCGGCTTTACCTAGTTTGCTTGAAGGACACTTGGCACCTGATGTGCATGGCACCGACAAGTTTTAAATAATAACTACGTTCATGTATGTTGAGTGAAGTTACCAATCAGCCATCAGATATTTCACCACGCGAACTTCCCGAAACCTCAGCTCTAGCTTTTGATTCATTCGACAAAGTAAGCCTGTCCTCTGTCAGTCCTCTGTCCTATCCTCCGTCAGCAGCTAAATCAAACCCATTCTGCTTATGACACAATCACCACCTCCGCTATCGCGTGCGATATCACTGTGTGATGTTGCTGAGCTCGCAGCAACATCTCTAGTCGCCAGTACCGTCTCAATGAGCCTAAGCGTCCCTCACACCGTCATATGGCTGTGTTACAGCGTCTGTGAGACATGCACAGAGATGTTCAGTCCCTACAGCAATGTCCCTTTTCTCGAATGCCATCGCTTTCACAGAGGGCATCAAGAAGCATGGAGACAAACCGCTGTCGCATGGTGGTGCCTACGTGAATCTCGTCATCACACTGGTCAAAGATGTCCTCCACAGCGGGGTCCTCCGATTCGATCAGGCTCTTCACAGAGCCGCAAACCCGCTGTGCAAAGTCAAACGTCTCCGCCAGCATTGATGACCAAACCACCAGTTCATCCACCTAAAACAAATGAAGAGAAGCATGCATTTAGCTTGTTCGACACGTCCCATCGCAACACAGGTGAGCTCTGACCTTCATAGCCATGTACGGTCAAGAGATGACCGCTATCTTATTTTCCGGTATATAGTACACCGGGAATTATGTAGTACGCATAATTCCCTATACATATATATATATATATATATATATCCATATATATATAAATATATATATACATATATATATATATATATATATCATTTATTCGTGTGTATAAAATGCACCATTCTCCTTTTCAATGCATTGCCGGCCTCGTAACTATCAGGCTCTCACACCACATTTTTGATACTGCGGTAGGAGCATCACAAGAAATTATTATTGTGTGCACAACACGTAGGGCTGATAGTATATGAGCAGGATCATATATTGACCTCAGTGACCAACGGCTATAAATCACGCTTCTCAAGTTATTTGCTCGGTAGTCAACACTATGTGCCAATATCATGGAAATAGATGCTCTTCAATTTCATGATAGAAGAAATGTTTAAAAAGACACTGACCTGCTTAAATAAATCGTATGCGAGTGCGTGTGACGCAGAGAGCCGTTTCTGAAACTCTGACTTTCTCAGTAAGTTTGTCACATCCGATGTTATTGCTTCTTCGAGTCTCCAGATCACCGTAGTTTCCATAGTCAAAGCCATCAACACTTCTCTGAGATTATCCATGTCCTCCCTGAGCTTAAGCATCCAGAACGTGACGGACTTGTGGATGGCTTGCGTCAGCCACACCTTGCGGCAGTACCAGATAGCGCTGTTGAGCACTACCACGTCAGGACAACTCGGCTGATGGCACCGGCACTGGTCCACCATCTCCCACAACTTCCTCACAAACAGGGTGTAGACGAACGGCCGGCGCCAGAACTCCACCCGCATCAGCTCGCTGTCCACCACACGGCTGCAGAACTTGTCTTGCTTCCGGCACATGTCCCGCGTACTTGCCACGTCAAGCACGTGGAAGGCGCCGTCGGGCACGTCCGACGGCTGCACGTCGGCCGGCTCTGAACCGTTGTCTAGTCGGAGGAAGGTTCGTAGCTGTTCCTGCAGGATGCGGCTGCGGGAGATGCCTGAATTTGGAGGATAACTTGTAACTTCGTACCAGACAAAGACCACCTAAATAAGCATGCATTGTGATCCATGAAAAATGCCTTGGCTTTAACCCACCACTACTAGTCCGATCAACCAAAGAACTGCACAGCTAGAACTGCACGGATTGAACCGCACGGCTAGATGTCTATCAAAAAGCGCATTCTCTTGCAAAACACACGCCTGGCACGGACGTGCAGCAGCCAGGGTAGCAGGCGCGCCGGGCTGCCACACATCTCGCCGCGCGGGCCGGGTCTGCTGCGTTGTGGCGGGCGAGGCGCAGCCGCCGTCGGCGAGCGCGGCGCTGTAGCTGGCGGCGCGGCTCGGGCCGATGACCCCGCGGTCGCTGCTGTTCCGTGGTCTCCACGCCGTCCATCCACCAAAGGCGGCGCGGGGACGGGCCGCGCGCTGATGACGGGACGAGCCGTGCACTGATGACGGGAACAGCTGTGATGGTGTTTGCTTCACACAAACAGCTGACACGGTAAACCTGGCAGTCGGCCCGGGGCAGTGGCCGCCGACGGTGGGTGGGAGTAGGGCTCCGACAAAACATATCCAAAAGGAGGGCCTAACTTTCGTTAAGAAGTATTACAGGAAAAGCTCTAGTTCTTTGACTTAGCTAAAATTGTTTTTGGCAGGCCGCATTTAAATCTTCCAAATATATTCTGCCTGAAATGTTTTGTCAAAAGCTAGTTTCTGCCAACAAAAGCTGTCGGCGAAATCCAGGCTTATGACAAACTTTAGGATTTCTGGATGGATTTGGATGCAAAATTCTCATCACCATGTGTCCTGGTTTTATTTTGACATTAAGACGTGGAAGCTTATGTCTCTCAACGACCCAAATTGTCCCACCGTTGATGGAAGTTTGCCTTCCCAGTGGAAACAAAGCTGGAACGGATGAATGATGTAGGAAATTCGAATTCGAATTTCAATTCGAATCACAGCTGCCCATGTAAACAGGGTACATGGCCCGGTGAGATGGGAGGGGGGGGGGGGGGGGTCAGCAGCCTGGACACTCACATTGTGTGCGCTGTCGCTGGCGACCGTCGTATGCCGTGTCGAATGTCACAGCCGGGTGCTGTGAGCTGGGGCCTCGGAGGGTCGGCCTCAAGATGCCGCTGTGGGTGTCGGGCGCACTCACTGGCACTGTACTGTGTTGTCCTCCTTCCTGTCTGTCTGTCCGGAGACCCCTGCATGATGTTTTACCGACTTTCGACACCTCTCTACTCTGTCGGCCCGCCTTCGTCTTCTCGCGTGATCCAATGGGTTTGCCGCCTCGCCCCTCCGTCCAATTAATAATGCGTCGCCGGGGCGGTATGCACCGCTCCCAGAGTCCAGCCCTCAACGTGCCCCTGGGGCAGATCTCGGGCGTGGCGTTGCTGGCGACGACGCAAGGCCCGCCCGCTCTCGCCACGAGCGGACCTTGCGCGTCCCCCTCTGGCCCAGTTCCCACGTGGCGTGGCTCTTCTGACGGCATCTGAGGCGACGGCGGCACCGGCACTGCGGGGTTGACGGGGCGAAACGGCAAATATCCTCACAACATGTTATTTGCGCGCTCCTGTGCGCATGTTGTTTCGCCGATCGCCCGCTCTCGCCTCCATTTCTCTTGGCGGCATGGATCATTTTGGCAGGTGGGCCGCCATCATGGCTGTTCTGGGGGAAGCACCTGACGTTGTTTTGACGACGTGAGCTGATCTGTCGGATCGTCGAGCCGAGCCGCATTCACCCGTCGGCCTGATGGACCTGTTTGTTCGGGGAGGGGGGGGGGGGGGGGGGCGGGGGAGAGAAGGGAGCCCTTGACCATGGCCGGCTGATTCGTTTTCTCGCGCTCTGCGCGGCAAGCTCCTCTGGTACCGGACGGGTCGCGCGCAAAACGACGAGGCATGAAAATGTACGCCTACATAAACAACTGAAAGTAAGAAAATGTTCAAAGCGAGGAAAGCTGATCTAACACCCTGTACTGCTCCCACAATCTTTGTGTCTGTTTTGTAGGGTACTTTCGTATGGTGTACCGTGTAGCTCCCCATGTGAACGGTATGAAATATCGACGCATGTTTCTGGTTTCCATTCTTGGTCTCTGGTTTCCGTTGCTCCCTTCGGCGAAACAACACCGCAGATCCTGGCTCCCAATGGTTCTCTCGACAAAGGGTCCTGGCTCCTGCTGGCTCTTTCGACAAACGAAGATCCCGGATCTTGGCTGTTTTTTTTTCGACAAAAAAAAAACCGAGTCCCGGTTTCAACTGGATGTTTCGACAGAACCAAACCACTGGATCCTGGCTCCTGCTGATTCGTTCCACATACCAAGATTCTGGGTCTTAATGGGCTGGAAATGAGCCTCCATGACAATCACCGGTAAGAAAGGACTAGTTGGCACACACAACGTGAAGAAAAGAGAAATGGTTTCAGTTAAGCTAGACTGGATCTTGGTTCTGCTGGATCTTTCGGCTTATCGTCCGGCTGGGTTCTGGTTCTTGCTCTATCTGTCAACTTAATATTAGGCTGAATCCTGGTTCCTGCTGGGTCCTTCAGCATCATGAGGCCTGATCCTGGTTACTGTTGGGTCCCTGGACCTAATGCAAGAGTGGTTCCAGGGAACTTCCTGGTTTTTGAATCAGGAACTGGCCCCCGGGAAAGAAATCTTGGCAACCAAGCCATGTCTGGTTATATCATTCACTTTGATCCTTGTGATTTAATCATATGTTATCCTGTTACCCACTCCATGTCCGAAAGAAAATGGTCGCTTGATAAAGAACGCATGTAACAAGTGCTATTTGTATGTTTTTCTTGGTAAGTTCCAGAGTAATCTTTGGGGCATGCCTTCCATGAGTTCTGATAACTCCAGCGGTGCTTAGGTCTTCTCCAACCAGGAAGCCGACGAGTCTAACGGACATCATTGTAGAGACAAGGTCAAGGACAAGGTCATCATTGTAGGGACAAAACCTGTATGATCGTCAAGCTAATCAAAATGTGCGACTGGGTCCCCCCCCCGTGGAAAACATTGCATACGGTGTTCGCGGAGAGTGTCATGGGAAGTGCGTCAGCGCTGCCTGTCGAATCAAAATAGTCGCTTTCAAAGCTGAGCACAGTGTTGCAATCCACCACAGTTTCCCGGAGTTCCTCAGGGGTGAAAGAAAACTGACATGACCGGAACTTTGGTGTGAGGTTGTTATTGATTATGACATATCGATATCATAATCGAAAACCTCATTCCTCATGATAACATAATGCTACGCCATACACATGTGACACTTTATATTATTATGAGGTTGCGATCGGGAACTTGGTGGTAGAGTTGGCGAGGGTTGGTTATATGCTCGCTTACGTTAGTTATATGCTCGATTACTACTCGCTGGCGAGGGTTGGTTATATGCTCGCTTAGCCTGGGACACATGAAATCGCAGCGGCGAATCTGCCGTGCGTTTAGTTATGAAAACATATTCTAGATGCCAGCCAGTTTCGAAGCAAAACCGGCAGCAAGATTTGGACACCGTCGCCATAGCCTTGTGCTTCTTGCGGAATTTTTAGGTGCTTCAGCAGTTGTCATTTGTGTTGGAAACCGGTGAAGTATTCTTGTCCAGTTGATAATGACAATGTCTATATTAACGTTACTGTCCGCTAATCAAGGTTCGTTTTGTGATGTATGATGACATGCTCAATGGGTGATCCACGGGTGATCGACGAATCAAAATGGTAATAATTGTGCCATAAAATTGAAGGATGACGTGCACTAGCAATCTTCCTTTAAATAGTTGCATGTTGAGTCCCATAGCAGACGTACAAATCACACACTTACATGAGTGGAGCCGGTCATTTGTCACAAAGTCGAGCGCACAAACGTGACAGCTTTTAAACTGCTATGTCGACATCCGCACCTATCAATTCATGTGCCAAAGTTAGCCTTGTGCTTCAGTTGATCGATCGCAGGAAGACAGCCGTTCATGGTGCCTGACCGGATCCACCATCCCGCCAACGCCCCGGTCACCCGCTTCATCCCAGCTCTGTGGCTCACACGAGTGTGTGTTGGTGTCGGGTGTACCGGAGCCACAACGTGCCAAGCCGTGCGCTAATATCACTGGGCTCGTATGCTGACCAATGGGCTCCTCATTATAAATTCGCTCTTGTGGGAAGGTGTGACAGCGGCAGCCGGCGGCGCACAACATCCAGCGGCGGTCAGGCAGTCGCCCACGACGCCCACAGCAGAAACCCCCACCCCTCTCCCACATCGTCAACATGCAGGTGAACACAAATCTCGCCGCGGTCACTTTGTTGAGAAAAAATTCAAACTCAGAACCGGATGTTTTTTCATCTCAAATGAGGGTCAATAGCAAATTCAGCGCGAGTACGAAGCGGATGCATGTTGTGTGCCGGTTGGCGTGTTTTGCACGAAATGGCCAGTTTTCAACACAACTTTACGTTGGTTATGCCTCACTGAAAACATATCGGCATTGGACAGTTAATGTCACACCGTAGCACGGGAGGGAAATGCTGCGTCAAAACAGGTATAACGAATCACCTGTGCTGAATTTAAAAACGGCCGTTTTTTGACTAGTAAAACGTTTCAAGCTCATATCTCGCGAACCAACGAAAATAGAAGGCTGCTTGTACTTGCAAACGATGTAAAATAATGGTACCAGTTGTTAGCTACATTTTTGATTATCCGGGTTACGAGAAAAAAATTTGGACGGTACCATTTTCCTCGAAAAAGTGACAACTTTCCAACTGCCATTTTTGTGCTACAAAGTGAAAGTGTATGGTCCATATAGTGTGTGAATAAACCTGCAAGTGCTTCTGTGCATGCAAACATTGTCTACAGCAAATCTAATATCTACATCAGGCGCGGCTTGTGAGTGTCTTTTTTCGACTAACTTAAAAACTATACATGTGTCAATTTTTCAAGTTACACAATCGTGCTCGCCGTGCGATTACACGTCTAATGACTTATAATACAATGAGGCTGCACCACTTGAAGCATGCAGGTTCCATGGTTCTGTTTCTGAGAGCCGCTCCGTTTGGAAGCAGATTGCACGCGCAAGCGATACACAATGATGGAACAAACATTTAGTGCCGTTGTTGTCAATGTGCAAGTGAACGCAAATCCCGCAGCGGCCACTTTGTTGCGAAAAAATCAAAATTCAGAAAGAGATGTTTTTTCATCTCAAATAAGGGCCAATGGCAAAATCAACGCGAGTACGAAGCGGATGCACGTTGTGTGCCGGTTGACGCGTTTTGCGCGA